AACCTTCTCTTCTCCAGGCTCAACAGCCCCAACTCCCTCAGCCTGTCCTCACAGGGAGATCCTCCAGTGCTCTTAGCAACTTTGTGGCCTCCTCTGGAGTTGCTCCAACAGTTCCATGTCCTTCTCACATTGAGGACACCAGAACTGTGTGCAGTATTCCAGGTGGGTCTCATGAGAGCAGAGTAGAGGGGAAGAATCACCCTTTTTGACCTGCTGACCACACTCCTTTGGATGCAGCCCAGGATTGGATTGGCTTTCTGGTCTGCTAGCACACACTGCAGCTCATGGTGAGTTTCTCACCTACTATCACCATTGGATCTATACAGTTTTATGTCTCAAAACTACAACATACCATCACATATTGTTTTTCCCTAACCAATCCCTAGCCTGTTTATTTTCTTGGCAGCATCAGAAATGAATTATTATTTATTGAAGAAATCATAACATCCATGTTGAGTGGAAACAGTGAAACAGCACAAATACCATGATGAATCTTCCATGGTGAACAGGTCAGGTTTTTCCTCCTGCCCTCTTTGGCACCAGCAATGACCCTACAGGAGCTCAGTTCTCCATCCTGCCTGCTCAGGGACTTGGTGACCAGTGACAGAGAATGATCCTGCACCTCCTGACCACCTCCGGTACCAGCGGGGCAAGGGATTTTTAAGAACTCTTGCCAGCATCCTCAAAAAAAAAAAAACCAATTAAAACACAGAGAGACCAATTCCTGCAGGGATCCACTCCGCAGGGGAAAAGAAAGGGAACAGCCTGGGCTCGTTCATGCAGCACCACACCACACACTCGGAAAGGCATGAAGAGGCGGAGACTGCAGTTAAGGGGGATTGGTTCCTGAAGTACCAGGCTCGACAGCTCTCCAGCTTTTTATCGTCCATCAGTTACATGAGAATGCACAGACATTTTGGCATTCAGCTGCACAGCTTGGAGGGACTCGTGAAAGCTGGTTTTACTTACAAGTCTTCCTGTCTAACCCAACACCTTTCCCATACCTGAATGTACTCAGGCTGAACTCTGGAATATTTCCTTGTGCTTTCAAAAGCATCTTGGATTTCTTGCAAACAGTAGTTCCAGCATTCTTGAGAATGGAATGTGAAAGGATTAAATTCATACCAACTGTTTAAAGGAGAATTTTCTCCCAGGAGGAACATCAAAAACTAGGATTAATCTGATTTTTCTGAGCTGAGAATGTCATGGTCAACCTCAAAAGAATATTCACATTCCAACAAAAAAAAAAAAAAAAGACTAAAAAACTTGGGGACCAATTTCGAAGCAAAACAGTTCCCTACCCCCTCGTGCATTTCTCTTAGCCACAGTTTCTGAAACCCTTGCTCTCAGCTTGGGAACTGAAAGAATATGAAAAGGCTGACTGGGCTTAAAACAGAAGTCACTGGGTTTTCTTCAGAAACATCCTCCTGCTTGGATGCTTCATATTTGTTTCTTCAGGAAAATGCTAAATAGTAAAATTTTCACCTTCTGATGCTTCAAATGAATACGCTAAATGCACCTCCAGATGTATTCAAATAGAAACACTCCTGGCTGCTCCACACCTGGCAAAAAAAAAAAAAAATCAAGCCATATACTTGCAAAAAGACTTAGGGGCTGATATTCAGACATTAATTTCTTTAAACCTTGCCTGAGGATTCCTTTGCTTACTTTCCACCAGACCCTGTTTGCACTTTATTTTCTGGAAAAACCCACCTCAATTTCCTTCATCAACTTTCATATTAAAGCATTTGTACTCAGACTTTTTAATCCAAAACAGAAATCATCTCTGCAAGTTGTAGAGGACACTAGAATATCAGAGCACAAGATGAACAGCCTTACTCTCCTTTTTTTCCTAATGAATCTCCTTCTCTAAGAACAAAACAGAAATTATGCTTACTCAACCTTGACAGCAACACACTAACCACTGCTGCTCTAAGCACAGAATTCTGACTTGACATATTGATGAGCTACTAAAAGTTCAAATCCACACAGGTTTGTCTTCCATATACCAACACTGGCAACTATGGAATCCCTCTATCCTCAAGTCAGACA